CCCTCGCCGCTACCGGAGACGGCCGCCGGGAAGCCTGCGCGGACGCCGGTGAAGGTGGCGGCGAGGATCTCGGCGCTCCATCCCCTCTCGGAGGCCTGCGGTTCCTAGGGCGGCGGCCCCAACCGGAGAGGCGGCGTCGTCGGGCGGTGGGCGGCGTTCGCAGGGGTGCTGGCCAGTGTGCCTGGCCGCGCGGGCGGCGGGTGGTTGGTGGAATCCGGCCGCGGCACGAAGATTCTTCGTCAGATCTGGAGGTTCGAAATCCCTTCCCGGCTACCTCTCTCTCGCCGTCGGCGGTGGCTTGTGATTTTCTCTCTGGCCCTGGCGTTGGTGCGAGTTGGTGGCCAGCTAGGGGACCGGGGCAAACCTTGGCCGGTCCGGCCGGTCCGGCGGCGGCAACGCCCAAGGGCGCTGCTTTCCTCCATGGGGGCGCAGCCGAGGTCCCCTGCTTCCACCCCGACCCACCCTGCCCGGGTGAAAACCTTATATCCTCTCGGATTTGGCGGCGGCGGCGCCTTGCGCGCCATGACCTTGCTGGAGGCGCCGTTAGGGAGGCGGGATGCGGTCGGGAGGCGCTGCAGGTGAGGGACGGAGGTGCCTCCTCTTCATCGTCCGATTCCACGAAGCGTATTTCCACCTAGCTGGGCATGGACCATGGCGGAGCGGCCGGCTAGGGATATCCCAAATTGAAGTGGCCGCACTATGTCCACCTTCCGATGTGAGGGCGGCATTCTTCGAGCTCTAGGGTGAGCTCCTCGAAACCCCGACGGTGCGGCGCCTACGAGCCATGGCGAGGGGGTAGGGTCCCTCTTCGGTGATTGAGATGGAAGATGTTGTTCCCCTTCTTCTCTAGGTGTTCCTGGAGCATGGCCATCTTTGAAGGTCGGATATGCCCTGCTTTGCTGCTCTGCTTTTCCTCATATGATCCTAGTGTGGAGTGCTCGGCCTTTGCAAGCTGTAATCTTAATTTCCTTTGCATTAGCTGCTTGTGGAGGTTGTAGTTAGCGTTTCAGTCCAGTGTTTCCATTGTATCCTTCTGACCGCTGTAATTTGGTTGTTTGCTGTAACTCCTGGCCGGTTGATGGCTTTGTTAATTCAAAGCCGGGCTCCTCGCGAGACTTCGTTCTAAAAAAAATAGAGAGAGAGCAATCAAGTAGCTCACGAATTGGCTAGGTTAGCTAAGTTTTCTCCCCCTGGTTGTTGGATGGATACTGCCCTTAGTGCGGTTATTCCCTTTCTTTTAAGCGATGCCATTATTTTGATCAATGAATAGAGGAGATAGTTAAAAAATAAAAGTAGATCGCACCAGTTCATTCCGGTAGCAGATAGCTAAAAGAGGTCTTCGATCATAGCGGGCACGTTGGTGTAGGATTATCGTAGCTAAAATCAGGGAGGTGGTTGCCGATCTGAACACACTAGTGCGTAAATTTTTTTGTAGAACCTTTATGTAGGAGTAGGATTTTCGGTAATTACCAACCGATCAAATTCCTAAAGAGGTTTTCACTGCGTAAATTTGTAGAACCTTTATGTAAGAATAGGATTTTCGGTAATTACCAACCGATCGAATTCCTAAAGAGGTTTTCACTGCGTGTGACTGACTCTATGGAGTACCTTGTCATGGAGCATCTGATGCAGGAGCCTGACGACCTGCGCGCCGGCCGAGTGGCCCACGAAGTGGGCTGGGTGCTCCTCGTCCAACATTGGGTAGTGCCCTGAAGTCATCAGTCACAAACAATCCATGTAACCACAGACCAAGGGATAATGGATGATCTATCTATCTAACTACGTAGTAACTATCAATTCTCACCGCGGTCGTATGCTCTGCCGAAGCGGGCGTGCCCGTACGTCCTGCTGTGCTCCTCGCCGTAGTCCACCCGCCCTCCTTTCAGGTAGTAGAACAGCTCCCGAGCCCTGCATGCATGTGTGCTGCTGCTGAAACCGCACCTACGTAGTACTACATGTTATGCGAGCTAGGTCATCCAGCAAATGCATGGATCGATCACCTGTCGTGCACGCTGGTGAGCGAGCCCAGGTCGGGCACTAGCACCCGGTCGTCCTTCTCCTCCGCGCCGGCGAAGTACGACATCCCGGCCATCCTCTGAGACAAACCAGAATCCTTAGCAAGACGCAAGATTCACAGGTCAGGCGGGCACTTGAGACTAGAGTAGACCACGTACGCCCTTGCCGAACCCCAATACGCCGTGGACCAGCACGATCGGCGGCACCGCGCCGTCGAGCAGGGCCTCCGCTTGGGCGTGGCCGACGGCGGCGTCCTTCGGCGCGCCGGCCAGCCGGGAGAGGTCGCGGCGGATGGCGGTGGTGAAGAGGTAGAACCCGTAGGTCAGGTGGACGACCGCGATGACGAGCAGCTCGGCCAGCCCCAGGGCGCCTAGCAGCCACGCCCTCACCAGCTTCCTCATACTGCTGCGATCTCTCTTTCTTGTTGCCAGTCGAGTTCTCTGCTCTGCTCTGCTTCGGTTCGTAGGTATCGATCGAGTAGCTCAACAGGCCAGCTTTTTAGTTCGCTGAGAAGATGATGTTGCTTCGGTGCTTGGTTTCTTTGGCGTTGCAAATTCTGTCCGATCCAAGAGGATTCTCCGTGAAGCTGAGTGGGCTGCGACTCCGCGCCATTCTCGTGTGCTTCCGTATGTATGGGCCCAAGCCACGAGAAACACGCTTGGTTCCTTTCCGTGTGGGATTTGGAAATGGATATCTCTAAAGATATTATGCTCCTGGCTCCATAGAAATGGAGCTCTTTGGCGCATTGTGGATTGATTGGACAAGTGGATCCCGGTTGTAAGAGGAATAAGGTTTGTGAGGGCAGAACAAAACTAGCATGGCATCCATCAACGAGATAAACCCTAGTTTCGTAGATAACCACAATCAACCATCGTGTGGTGAAGTTTTCTTACTGTACGAAGACGAGGCCGCAGAAGAAGGTGAAGCACAAATGTGAGAACTTCCAAGAGACGCTTGCACCCGAATACTATGTAGGTCGTCGATCGCCGAGTACTATTGTTGCGTCCTCACCCTGTTGCGTGAATGGGAGAGTATCGGCTAGACTCGGCGACGGTAAACGCATAAGAGAAGATAAGGGTGTTTTGAGTGGTGACTCTCTCGAGAGGAATACCCCCCTCTTATAGGGTCGTGTTGATAACTTGTAACTCACCAATTTGCATAACTGTGCGACGCACACACTAGCCAAGGATGTAGGAAATATGCCCTAGAGGCAATAATAAAGTTGTTATTTTATATTTCCTTATTTCATGATAAATTTTTATTATTCATGCTAGAATTGTATTAACCGGAAACTTGATACATGTGTGGATACGTAGACAAAACACCGTGTCCTAGTATGCCTTTACTTGACTAGCTCGTTAACCAAAGATGGTTAAGTTTCCTAGTCATAGACATGTGTTGTCATTTGATGAACGGGATCGCCTCATTAGGAGAATGATGTGATGGACAAGACCCATTCGTTAGCTTAGCATTATGATGGTTTAGTTTTATGGCTACTGCTTTCTTCATGTCAAATACATATTCCTTCGACTATGAGATTATGCAACTCCCGGATACCGGACGAATGCCTTATGTGCTATCAAACGTCACAACGTAATTGGGTGATTATAAAGATGCTCTATAGGTATCTTTGAAGGTGTTTGTTGGGTTGGCATAGATCGAGATTAGGATTTGTAACTCCAAGTATCGGAGAGGTATCTCTGGGCCCTCTCGGTAATGCACATCATAAGAAGGCTTGCAAGCAAAGTGACTAATGAGTTAGTTACAGGATGATGCATTACGGAACAAGTAAAGAGACTTGCCGGTAACGAGATTGAACTAGGTATGAGATACCGATGATCGAATCTCGGGCAAGTAACATACCGATGACAAAGGGAATAACATATGTTGTCATAACGGTTCGACCGATAAAGATCTTCGTAAATATGTGGGAGCCAATATGAGCATCCAGATTCCGCTATTGGTTATTAACCGGAGAGTTGTCTCGGTCATGTATACATAGTTCTCGAACCCGTAGGGTCCGCACGCTTAACATTCAATGACGATTTTGTATTATATGAGTTATGTGATTTGGTGACCGAATGTTGTTGGGAGTCCCGGATGAGATCACGGACATGACGATGAGTCTCGAAATGGTCGAGAGGTAAAGATTCATATATAGGACGATAGTATTCGGACACCAAAGTGTTCCAGGGGTACCGGGTACGTATCGGGTCACCGGAAGGGGTTCCGGGCAACCCCCGGCAAACTACATGGGCCTAATGGGCCAAGAGGGGGACAGACCATCCCCTAAGGGGCCGGTGCGCCCCCATGTATGTCAGGACCCCGACTCAATGCCACATCGATCTAGCATGTAACACCTCATATCACTTTGCGGCCTCACGCACGGTAATCCCACGGGTGTCGCCTTACTTTTGCCCGGGACCGTTTGCGCCTTTTGGCATACGTATATGATAGTGTCGCTAGCATCCATATGATAAGGAGCCCGGGCTGACATGGCTAGTCGTAAACCCAAAGCGGCACAGACTTACAGGGACAGGCATCCATGACCCAGCATCGAACGTGTCGGTCATCAGCGAGTGAATCCAGGCTGTAGCACTGGGCTGTAGCGGGCTAGCAGGACTCCGGTATTCATCGCGTGACATTTCCCCGAAGGGACAGACACAGGAACGAAGAAGGACACATGCCGGCCAGCCTAAGTGTTCCGGAGCAGTAGCAAGCTACCATGGCTCGGTGGAAACACTAGGAGACATTTCCCGGTAAGAGAGGCTACTAAAGATAAACAACTAGATAGTCAGATCCCACACATACCAAGCATTTCAATAACATACACACAATATACTCGATATGTGCAATACAACATGGCATCACAAAATGACTCTACGGCTCAAGTAGTTTATTCAATAGGCTCCGAGGAGCGAGACATTACAAACATGGGTCTCATGACCCAACAATCAGAGCATACAAATCAAAGCACATGCGGAAGCTATCATGTCTGAGTACAGACATCTATAAATGAAAAAGGCTGAGAAGCCTGACTATCTATCAGATCCTGCCGAGGGCACAAGATCGTAGCTGAGGTATCAAGCTAAACGTCGAAGTCCACGCGAAACTACTAGTGAGACCGAAGTCTCTCTGCAAAAACATAAAATAGGCAAACGTGAGTACAAATGTACCCAGCAAGACTTACATCAGATCTATCTACATATGCATCATTATCACAAGGGGGTGGTGGAGTTTAACTGCAGCAAGCCAGCTTTGACTCGGTGGCTATCCTGAACTACGACTGCAAGTAACTCTTTTGAGGTGGCGCACACGAGTCCACATATTCACCATATCAATACACCACTATGGATCCGCTCCCGTCTCCCTACGAGAACGCCATCCATAGCACTCACGCTTATCTTGCATATTTTAGAGTATCCACTTTCACTTGTCTATGAACTATGCAATGGGGTCCAAGTTTCCATATCCGAGGAATCCGGCTATTCGAATAGATGATGTTAACCCTGCAGGGGTGTACTTCTTCACACACGCTCTCGCCACTTACCGCCCTGTACACGTCATGTACCTCGGCAACCTTCAAGCGGAAGCCGGGCGAGGGAGTCGGCCACGACCTGACTAACCGAACAAGTCTCTAGTCCAGGTTTATCGCCTATTCGGGTTCCATCCGCAAGGAGATCCGGCCGGGGTGTCTCTTACGGCCCCAAACGATGTGTGCAGGGTTCCCAAGCCCACCAACCGGGTGCCACTTGGTACACCGGGCCACTGTGCCTAGTCTGTCCCAAGCCCACCTGTACCGGGTGCCACTTGGTAGACTACTAACACTACCTACAAACACCAGAAACTAGTTGCAACTCCTGGACAGAGATCAAGTAGATTAATAAGTCGAGAGGGCTTGGAGCGCCCGGAGCCCAATGTGTGGTAGTAACTGATCATGGATCACAAACACAGAACTCAGTTCCTGAGGACGGCTGCAATGAGACAACCCACCATGTACTCCTACATGGCCTCTCACCGCTACCTTTACCAAATCGTGTTCACACACTTAGCTCACACACAGTAGGACATGTTCACACGCCTCTGATTCATCCCCGATGAATCAGACCTGACTCAACTCTAAGCAGTAGCAGGCATGACAAACAAGCATGAATGAGTAGGCACAACAGGGCTCAAACAACTCCTACTCATGCTAGTGGGTTTCATCTATTTACTGTGGCAATGACAGGTCATGCAAAGGATAAAGGGTTCAGCTACTGCAGCAAGTATCAAATATGTCGTTGTTGTCCTAATGCAGTAAAAGAGAGCAGGAGCGAGAGAGTGGGATTTTATCGGAATGAACAAGGGGGTTTTGCTTGCCTGGCACTTCTGAAGATAACATTGAGTCTTCATCAGTGTCAACGATCACATCATCGGTATCACGTCTATCGAGAGGGGACAAATACCGGCAACACAGAAAGGAACACAATCAATGCAATGCACAATATGATGCATGATCATGACATGGCAAAATGAATGTGTTTTGGGCTAATGCAGCTAGCAACAGATTAAATGAAGTTGGTTTGAATACAAGATTCAAATTCAAACTCCATATGTGATTATTCAAATGCCATTTAATTCATTTGCCCTAAACAGTAGTGATAAGTTGTTCTAACATGCATGAAAATGGTACAGATGGATTCCTTGAATTTTTCTGATAATTTTTCATATATAATTTATTTAATTTGGAGTTACGGTTAATTTTCTATGATTTATTGAAGTTTTAAGCATTTTCTGGAATTTCCTGATTATTTTTAAATCCAGAAATACTTATTGCGTCAGCCTGACATCATCATGACGTCAGCAGGTCAACTGGGTCGCCCAGAGTCAAACCTGACGTGTGGGGTCCACACGTCAGTGACTAACTAACTAACCTAATTTAATTAGAGCCTGGGCCCGCATGTCAGTGTCAGCAGAGGGGGTAATTAGTTAAAATAGACTAAACTAATTAGCAGGGGGGCTGGCCCCACCTGTCATCGACCCAGGGGGGTCAAACCCCTGGTCAGCGGGGCCTAACCCGCCGGCGGCTCGTCGCCGGTGGCAACAGGCGCGGCGGAGGGCTCGGGCTCACTCCTCCGGCGTCCAACTGGACGGAGGAGAGCGGCTACGGAGAGCTGGAGCTCACCCACGCCCGTTTCAGCAAGCAGCAGCAGCTAGGGCGGCCGGAGACGACGGCCCCGAGCTCGGCAGCGGCGGCCGGAGCTCGGGCGTGCTCGGGTTCGGTGTTACACGGCACGGCGAGGTCAGCGGAGGGCCTCTACGGATTACTGGGGTCGTCAGGGGCACTCGAAGGCAACGAGCGCAGGTGGAGGAGCCCGGGAGCACGAAGCTCACCGGCCATGGCGGACGGCGGCTTCGGGTG